TGGCACCCACTTGGTGTCCACAGGAGGTGTGGGTTTTATTGGCTATGATGTCAGAGCAGTCTTTACCTGCAGGGACCAGCCTGGGTGGCAGCCAAGCTGGCTTTCTCTGAGTGTTTTCCAACCCCCGACAGAAAGGTGGCCGTTGAGCGGGTGCAGCTCTGACCACTTCGGCTGAGGTGCCTCTTTGTCTGACGTGATTCCGGTGCCGGGGACGGAGACCACACGCTCATTTCATGGATGTCATGCACTGTCAGCTGTGGTTCACTCAGCATCCAAGACTTTATGAACTGGGCTCTTCAGGGAGCCCGCATGGTGTACTGGTAATGAACGTGGTCTCTAGAGCCAGGCGTCCTGCATCTGAACCTGGCTTTGCCACTGACCAGCTCTGGGCCTCTGGGAAAGTTATTTACTTTCTCTGTACTTCATTTTCCTCCTCTGGAAAAGGTGGATAATGGCACCTGTAAAGTGTTTAGTATATAAGAAGTACTTGGCTAAGTGTGAGTTGCTGTAATTACTACATGCTACATGGGTAGGGTGGTCTGACGGTAGGTTTTCCAGTTTGGGAAAGTAATGTGGGCTTCCTCCTGTGTGGGTGCTGAGTATAGCCAGGAGAGCTGTCTTCTCGAATCCATCCTTGATGTTTTGTACTCCCCTGCCAGCACCTGCTCTCTCCATCTTTTACCTTTGCTCCCTGCCGGGGATGTGTAGCTGGAATCAGTAGATGAGGGTCTGTGGCCTGACTCGGCCACGTGCTGCTGTGTGAGCTTAGACAAGGTGCTGAACCCCTCTCTGAGCAGGCGTGGAGGATTTGGGACGCCTTTGGGCTGCCGGGTATCTTGTAAAGCTGGAGTAATTGTGCATTCTGTCTTCCTGAGGTGATCAAGGAAGGAACACTTGTTGGGAATAGCTGGTGATTCTCCTCTGGAAGCTAAGACTTACCTGATTGTCCCTGTGAATGAAAAAGAATCCTCCCTCCCGTCCAGGGGGGTGTGTGTTGGGAAAAGCACAGGGCGGGGTGGGGGAGGAGCCAGAAGACTGGGGTCCACTGGTGCCAGACCAGCTGCGCAGGACCCAGCAGAGTAGGAGCCAAAAAAAGATGGAGCTTCCCTCCTGCTTGGTCTCGCGGGACTGAGTGCACTCGGGGTTTCTGTTCCTGTTGTCTTCGTGGTGACCCTGTATTCCTGGAGTTGTGCAGTGAGCAAAGCCGTCTTACTTTAAGTGCTGACAGTAGTCACAGCATGAGCACCCATCCCTGTTGACCTCTGTTTCTCAGCTTCCTGTCTTGGCAAATAAAAATCTTGGACCAAATGAACTTTTGGCTTTCATATGATACAAAGGTATACAGATATGCACCGTTTGTCGCCTGGTTCTTCTTCGTAGCACCTGATGCAGTGTTTTTAGATTTTGCTTTGGGTTTTTTGCTCTGTTTTTTACATACTTCTTTTGTGTCTCCAACACCTGCATCCCCGTTTTCAGGCACCTAGAAAGGAAGCTGCTGTGTACAAGGACAGCAGCACTAGATCACGTTTGGCACATTGTAGGTGTTAATGAGTATATGCATATGCCCACATAGACACCTGTAACCAGACGTTATAATATAGTTTCATAAACTTGTCTGTAGAAACTAAGTGATCAATTATTCTTTCTTTCCTCACATACTTACCTCCCCAATATACAGCACATTGTTATTTGGAGATTAGAAGACTACAATTAAGAATGGTTATATAGGGAGTTGGGGATTGGTATGTGTAAACTGCTGTATTTAAAATGCATAACCAACAAGGACCTGCTGTGTAGCACAGGGAACTCTGCTCAGTATTATGTAATGACCTGAGTGGGAAAAGAGTTTGGAAAAGAAGAGATACATGTGTATATGTAACTGACTCAGTTTGCTGGACACCTGAAGCTGAGATAACATCATTCATCCAAAAAAAAAAAAAATCATTCATCAACTGTGCTCCAATATAAAATAAAAAATAAAAGCAAACCCAAGGGCAGTTGGGGAAGCAGTGGTTATATTTTCTGTCTTAAAACTTACACAACGTAGCAGTGCCCAGGTTCTCAGCTTGTGTGCAGGTAGTCTCAAGGGACAGTAACTCCTGACGTCAGAAGAAGCTCACAGTTCAGCGCTGAGGACACTTGATTGGGAGGCGCTGTGCTGAGCGTCTGCGGTGTCGGGATCCTTTTATATACACAGTGGAGGTGGTCAGCAGGAGGCAAACTCTAAACCGTAGAACTGTGCTCGCTCCTATTATTGAGATTTCATATTGCTTTTATTATTTGGCCACAAAAATGGACATAATCCTTGCTGGCTTTAACACACCTACTAGTGCTGCTTTCGCTATCCATCTTGCAAAATATAAGACAAGGCCAGAGCTTAAATTAAAATCCTCAGCTTCTTATCTCCTTCCCACAGGAAAGCAAATCTGTGTTGAAAACCGTAAAATTAAGAGGAGAGCAAGGATAGCATAATTTAGCAAAAATTCATGGCACCAGATTCTGAGCTATATGACTGGAGGGATAGGTCAGACATTAAGAAGATGCTGCCTGCTAATGCAAGTTCCTTAAGGTGGTGCTCTGAAAATAAGAAAGGCACATAAAATGTATGTGTGTGTGTGTATAAATATATATATGTATATTTGCAGAAGATTTCTGCAATGCTTTACTCTTTTTAACCACCCTAAGAAAATATCTCTGTAGATCATTTGGCAATTATGCTTCTTATGAGACTTCTGAAAGGAAACTAGAAACAGTTATTCTCAAGTATAGTTGAAATCATTCATTTTAGCATTTGAGTGTTGAGATTTTTGCTTCCCTATTTAAAAGGGTTTATAATAATAATATCCTCACACCCACCCACCCCCTACTTCCTCTAGCATTATAAATTCCTAATATTTGAGAAGCTCATTCTGTATACTGGGCACACTGTATCATTAACACTTGAAGAGCATTGAAACATTTTCTCTAACCTTTTACACATTTATATGCATAGACGTCTGTGCAGAGGTGTGTGGAGAAAAGGCGTGTGGCTTTGATAATGGTGCTCCACTTAATAAACGCCAAGGGCTATAGGAGCTGTGCGAGTTCCGCTGTTAGAGGGGAGCTGCTAATTATAAAATAGGGGAAATCTAGCAAGGATAGCATATCATTGTCTAAAAAAGTTATTTTTTTACCCCCCTCACTTTTTTAAATTTCATAAGTTTCTTTGGGTGGAGGTTGCAATGATAGGGTGCAGAGAATTACTAACTATACAGAGAATTAAGTGTTACTGGATAATTACTCTTAATTTTCCTGAGGATGGTTCTTCCTGTTGGAACCACGTACTTTTTATACCTAATTTGTAAAACAACAACAAGAAAAAGTGACATTATCAGTGTATGTAATAGGTGCAGCCATCATACACAGTTGTTTCATGGGTTCTCAGCCATTCAGATTGGTCCCTACACTTTAAGCAGTTGATACTGTGTACTTTTCAGAGACTCGCACACAAAAATTTTAATAATATATTCTTTTCTGGAGAAAGTGATTTCACGTGTATTTTAGTCTGTATAATAGTAACAGCTTATTTCAAACTAGCATGGTGAAGGCATGTTTGAACTAGTGAATTAGAGAATATTTAGAATTCATTAGAGTTTATTCCTTTTAAATTCACAAGTTACTTATTATTATATTTCTAAATAGACATTTTTCTGAGACAGCCTGAATTAGGAGATGAATTTAAAATCAGAAACATATTGTGCATATAATTATGTTGAATTGTGTGTGCGGGGTAGTTTCTTTTAAAACAATCCCCTAAGTAGGTTAAACTGCCTGAGTCTTGTTTATAGTACTGATTTGCTTAGTAAGCACTTTATTGAGGGGGCAGTATGCATGGGAGATTCAACTTTAACCAAACAACAGAATTCCAGATTTCAAATAGAAGTCCAAATAAATAACCTGAACCTTTAACAAGTGTTACTATTATACAGTCTTGGAATTCCAAATTAAATAGTAAAATTTATTTTTAAACAAATAAGAGACATAAAATATGTTAAATATAAATGTCAACAATTTGAAGTGTTCTTACAAGCTATAATTCACATTATGTGTAAACCCAAGATTAGACATTCTGTTTTATCTGTTGATACTTTTAGAAACTAGAGGAACTGAAGATGAGCTAAGCAGCTCTAAAGAATAATAAATGATGGTCATGTTTGATTGGCAAAACTATAGAACATGAAAAAATGGCATAATTTGGTTCCTAAAGATGTACAATTCTGTTTGTATGTGCACACACTCAGTCGTGTCCAACTCTTTGCAATCCTGTGGACCCGTCAGACTCCTCTGTCCGTGGGATTCTTCAGGCAAGAATACTGGGGCTGGTTACCATTTCCTCCTCTCGGCTATCTTCCCGACCCAGGGCTCCAACCCACATCTCTTGTATCTCCTGCATTGGCAGGCGGGTTCTTCACTAGCTGAGCCAGATTTACTGCTCTACAACTCTAGGATTATGAATTTTATAAACTAAGATGATGTCATTACAGCAAATTTATATATACTAGGTTGTTTTAAAAGTTGCCTTTTAAGTTGGAATATTTATTCCTTTATCTATTCATAATGTTTATTGAATGCTCGTTTTATGCCAAACATATGTAATGAATAGAGTTACTAAAACATTCATAACTTTTGCTCCAGAAACTGTTCATTGACTTTAAGCTAAGGAGATAATCCAAAGGGAGTGTAAATATGTCTGTATAGAAAATTGATGTCATGGAATCCTGGAGTGGGTGACCAACCTAAATCTCTGAAGGGGCCTTGGTTAAATAACTGATCGTTTTCTTGGTGGGATATTCATGTACTCAGGGAGTATTTAACATGAGGAAATCCTGACAGTCTTAAGCGGGTAGAGCAGGTGATTTCAGTTGTTTAGGTCTGGAGATCATTCTTGGTTGACTTTTGAGGAGAGAGGAGACAGGAGCTGGGAGTCCATATTAACTGTTGTCCTTGTGGTTACTTTGCAGTCAAATAAAGTGCCCGTGGTGCAGCCATCCCATGCGGTCCATCCTCTCACCCCTCTCATCACCTACAGCGACGAGCACTTTTCTCCAGGATCACACCCGTCACACATCCCATCAGATGTCAACTCCAAACAAGGTGAGCACCTCGCCACCCCGGCCTCTTTGGATGAGGAAGAGCCTCATCTCAGCAGTCTGAGCACCCTCCCCGGCGACTCTGCCCATGTCATGATACATTTGTAGGAGATAAGAATAATTTATTTGATAGCAACTTTTTAATAATCATACAAGAGTTTGTTACTGGCCTTTTCTTTTCCGGGATTAAAAAAAAAAAACAGAAAAAATAGTGAAGGGTCATTTTCAAAGTGACAGCTCTGAAGAGCTATGATCACAATATAAACCAATATGTTGTGAAATTAATTCAGTCCTCAGCGCCCCCTGCCATATTCATTTATTTTAGCATGTACTATGTGTTGATAATAATGCTGAAAAAAAGTCAGAAAAGGGACAAAGTAGGAGGTGTTTTTCTTTGAATGTTATATTTTTGAGACTTGTGGTTTCCTTTGGTTTCAGTTATATCCCTGTTGTGTTTTCTTTTCTTTTTGTTGTTTCTCAACAAGAATTATATTTAAAGTTCAAAGGGTTCCCAGGTGGCGCTAGTGGTAAAGAATCCACCCGCCAATGCAGGAGACCTAAAAGACAGAGGTTTGATCCCTGGGTCAGGAAGATCTCCTGGAGGAGGGCATGGCAGCCCACTCCAGGATTCTTGTCTGAAGAATCCCATGGACAGAGGAGCCTGGCGGGCTACAGTCAGAAAGAGTCAGACACGGCTGAAGCGACTTAATACACACACACACATAAAGTACAAAACCATGTCTGTCTAAAGTCAAAACAGACTAAGTGTTGGTCGCTCAGCTGTGTCTGACTGTTACCCCATGGACTATAGCCCACCAGACTCCTCTGTCCATAGAATTTTCCAGGCAAGGATACTGGAGTGGGTCGGCATTCAAAGCAACATGAATCTTATTTTGCTTCTCTACACTGTTACCAAGTTCTGCTTCTGTATCATTTACAGAGACACATGCATCATAAGAAGTCTCAAAAATGAAAATGCCTGTTTCTAACCTGAGGCATGAGGGTGTGGTTTGGTTGTCTGACGGACACAAAGTGCAGGTTCTCGAGCCTCCTGGTCCCAGCATCCTAGAGCAGACCTTGAGAGAGGGACAGTTTGTTCACAGGGGAGTCCTTGCTCTCTTCGTGGACATACACACTTGGACCTCAGCAGGATCTTGAGATGTTCAAAATGAAAGATCCTGTAAAACCATGTGAAGGCAGAGAATGTAAAAGGGGTCAAACATGCCATCTCCAACACTTCTCCCTTTTGTCCAGCCCTATCTTTGATGGATTGTGAACAACCATATTTAGTAAGGGTGTAAAACAGCAGTGAAGTTCAGAGGTTGGGTGTTTTTCCCACCTCTGTAAACACTTTGACGTTAAATATATATCATCTTCATTTCCCACCTTAATTAAAAAGACAACTCTTGGACAACTCAGTAGGACTTTGCATGCTTGGAGCCCCAGTACGTTTTCTTAGAGAAAGCAAGAATCACTGTGGCGGATGTTTCTGGGTTTGTCTCTGTTTTATTCTCATTTCCAGCCCTTTCTCTCCTCTACTTCCTTTTGTAAAGGACCTCCAAATAATCAGCAACTACAGAGGCAGATCTGTGAATATGTAGTGAGAAAGGAAACTTAAGACAAGCGTCTTACGCAGAAAGCTGAGTTTGAGAGGGAATCTCGAGAATATGACCTTGGCTGAGGTCTTCGGGTTATCTGAAGGGAATGTGAGGTCTGCAATTTAAATGTGCAGGTCACAATCCCAGAGCAGGGTCTAAGCTAGAGATATATATCTGGGGACCATAAAGATGCAGATGACAGTTAAAGATAGATATAAAAGCCCCAGACAGGCTATATCAAAAAGAATCCAAGAGTATGTTTTATTTAGTTTTAAATTAATTTATTTACATAACAATTACATAGTATTTACCTTTTCCCAGTTCCTGTTCAGAGCACTTTGAAATTTAAAAGAATAACATTATAAAAAATTTTGCAAGAGTAACACATGATGGTTCAGTAGTTTTTCTCTCATAGATTCTAGGAATGTTTAGTTTTTAAAACAGACATTTTTCCAACTGGCTACCAATTACAATTGCATTTTCTCTTCTGTTTCCGTATCTTACTGCTACCCTACCTTGCTTTACCTTAATAATTGTAATTTATTGTTACTCCTCAAACCTTTTCTTTTAAACAGACTTTTTCAGAACTAGAGGAGGGACTAGTTGGCACGACTGGAAATCGTCTGCTTGAAGTTTCCTTGTAATATTTTGTGCTAAAAATTTGTGATTTTTGCATTCTACTCTATAACACTATTTGCATTTGTTTTAATATAAAAATCCTGTTTTTAATTACTTTTTTGTCATAGACTTAATGTGTCCCATCACTATGTAGGTAGGGGGATATAAAACCTTGGTTTAGGAAGAATTAATTTACATGATCTTGAGTTTATATCATTCCACCTGGGTACAATCATCACTAAGAAATAAGTATGAGGGAAAGAAGTCTAAGGCTTACTGGGTCTCTTGCCTTTATTCTTTTCACCTCTGCCGGCCTTTTGGTTCTATCACGTACAACTGGTTACAGCATGGTGGTACTAAGCTGCTGATTTCAAAGTTCCAGGGAAGTCTCTGGTTAGCTTTATCCCCTGAAATTAAAAAAAAAAGAAAATCGTGTTCATACTCTCACTCTAGTTGGGCTTATTCAGTAAATATAAACAGTCTGTCAGCAGAACCCATTCTTATTTGTAAGAAAATAACTTTAGGTTAATTTCCTGTTAGGAATCACACTAGTTTTTATGCATGAGTGTTGGGGTAATGGTGAGTGCAGGTGTAGTTGTAAGAAGAAGAAAGGAAGCTGATATCCATCATTTTGTTCCACTCATTGTGTCTGATAAAAATGTTAAGAGGAAGAGCTTTTAGGAAATATTGCATTTATGTACCTGTTTATGTATTTGTATCCTTGTAAATAACAGCAAACACTCAACATAGCACTTAACAGGCATTTTTCTTTATTATATATGAATGCATTTACTTCTCAGAACCTCTGTTTCATTTTTATCCTGATTCTGCAGAATAATAATTAAATAACTTCCTCAAGAACATACAGTTAGTGAGTGGCAGAACTACTGTGTTCATGCAGTCTGACACCAGAATCATTTTAGCTGTATTTATAAAAGTTAAAAAAATTTAAGGATATACCGCACATAGCCTCCAGCACATGCTGTGCTTAGTCACTCAGTCGTGTCCGACTCTCTGTGACCCCATGGACTGTAGCTCTCCAGACTCCTCTGTCCATGGGGATTCTCCAGGTAAGCATACTGCAGTGGGGTTGCCATCCCTTTCTTCAGGGGATCTTCCCAACCCGGGTCTCCCCCACTGCAGGCAGATTCTTTACCATCTGAGCCACCAGGGAAGCCCATATAATAAGTGCTCAATAAAAGTCGTTAAATAAATGATGTGTTGCACAGGAGTTGGTAGAGAGGCACATACTTCTAGGAGTCTTTGGAAACTGGAAACAGGATCTTAAGACAACAGTGAGCTATTTAGAAAACACAGATCCACTTTCTTCTGCTCGTGTAATGACCTAAGCCACATCAGGTGTGTACGTGCAAATGGCTTATAGTGTTGACCAGCACGGGTAATGTGTCCATTTGTTTCACTTGTTCATTTGTTTAGTCACTGAGAATGATATTCAGAGCCTTCTCTGGGAGACAGCCATGGTTTGATACACAGATAAGGGACAAAATGGTCTCTTCTTTCCCAGCAGTGTATAAGCTCACACAGGAAATCATTTGCACAGACTCACTGTAAAACATAATGAAGAACATCTTAAGTACCATGTTAAAAGTACAAATAAAATGATGTGGATTCTAAGAAGAAAGATTTCTCACAGCAGCAAAAGTTAGAGAATATTTCATGAGAGAAAGTTATCTGAAATATGAGTAGAATTTTAATAGAAACAGTCAAATTAAATACCCAGCATAAAAATAAATAAATACCCAGCATAGGAACTAGCATGTAGCAGGTGCTAAGTAAACAGTAGTTCCCTTGTTTGTTTTTAAGCAGTAAAATCAAATCCAAATATGAAAAAAATTGTATTTTTTGTTCTGTCAAATTATTCCTACACCAGATCACAAATGCACTGTTCTCAGTGTACTTAGAACATAGACTAGTGTGGAGAGCAAGGTGTCCAGCTCCTCTGCTTGGAGACATGTGACTGAAAGCACAGTCTCTGTGCTTTCTGCTTTCTTACTTCTCTGCATCCCAGAGATAAGATCCCAGGACAAACCATATTTTTTAGGTGCGTAAACAGTCACTTCACCTCCCTAACAAAGGGGTTAAAGTAGACCATCCATACACTTCAGCCTCTGATTATGATTTTCAAGTTCAAGTTTCCACAGAGTTTCCAGTGTTCTGTGTTGGTCAGGGTTTTCTTTTCAGGACTGAGCAACCCCCCTGCAGAATGAGAGCTTGGAGAATCTGGGGATGAGGGAGGCAGCAAGTCGGAGAAACTGCCCTATGATTCTGCTATGTCTAGAATCACTACTGCAGGCCCCCTGGTGCCCCTGCCTCCCCAGGCCCAAGTTAAAACAAATCCCAAGGGCTCCTCTGTGAGCAAAAGAAGCAGTATTGACAGCTTTTTTATAAAGGGAGATTTTCATGGTAACTCTGCTAAAGTGAACTTCCAGCTTCCATAAAAACAGTTGCCAGGGGCTCTGCTTCAGTGAGAGAGAGTAGATCCACAGAACTGCCTTAGGTCCTATTGTAAGCAGTGCTTTTGGTGAATTGATGATATAAAGGAATTAAAAAAAAACACTCATTAAATTTGAAAGTGATAAAGAGATCAAAAAAGAAGATTTTAGATTCCTTTTAAAAACAGCAAAACCTGAGATGATCTCATGTAAACTCTGTCGAAAGAGATTAAAGACCTTTCCCCTTCCTAGCTACTTTTTCTAAGAGTTGAAGAATAGTTTGTCCTAACTTCAAAGTCAAACTAACATCAACTTTGAAGACAACACTTCTTAAGCCATTCCCATATGCTCAAGGCCTTCAATATCTTTTAATATCCAAATGAAATTCACAGACATTTTGAATAGTAAAAAAGCAGAATACGTAAAGAACATCTGTATACTCACCTGATTTTGCATATTAGGCAATATAATTATAGCCACTGAATGTATATTCGGGTTGTTAAACCTGGGGATATATGTTTATACATGATAATGCTCTTTTAAAGCCAGATTAACTGTGTAAAGAAACTCATGTGGCTTTCTTCTGTTCAGAATCACTTTCCCCCAAATACGAATGTAATGTTTTGTTTTGCATTTTTATGTATGCATCGTACCCCTTCTTTTTGGTACCCAAGGTAAGATGTAAACCTAGATGTCAAATGGGACTAGGATTAGGCATGATCTCTAGGTGGTTTTTACAGTTATAGGGTAGTGTACTCCAGGGAGTGTGAGCTCAAGAAACAATGTGGTGGCACACTCATTTTCTGTGGAATACAACTAATCCAGACCAGCTTGACCTCGGAGCCCAGAGGACTCAACCCGATGAAGGGCTTAGTTGGAGCTGCAGTGCCAGAGACCAGATGAATCATATCAAGTGCGACCATTATGGGGCTGAAGATTATTTCCAATTAATCTTTGATCCTCTGAGGTATCACATTTCCCAAATCTATGTGTCCATAAGGGAGCCAATGAAGATCTGAAAAGAGCAATTTACCTAATCCTTGAACACCATGGCAGGCCCTGCTGTCATTCTACACAAAAACAGTTGTCTACCATTTTCCTAAGCTAAGTGAAATAATGAGGGCAAACTTAAGTAGTTTTATAGACTCATTTTGATGCCTGTTTTACTCACAGTATATTTACTGTTTTAGGAGCCCCTCAAGATGTACCACCGTCAGACGTGTTTTCTTAGATGCTGAAATTTTGAGTAAAGATAACAAACTGACTTTAGTTAAATCAGAAAAATAAATATTGTCTCATTCTACACCTTAAGTACTCATGACATAATGCATTTTCTTGCCTTTCTTATTTCTCTCAGAAATCGAATGTCCTGTGAATCTGCCTCTCCATTGTTCTTTTTAATAGGCATGTCCAGACATCCTCCAGCTCCTGAGATCCCTACGTTTTATCCCCTGTCTCCGGGTGGTGTTGGACAGATTACCCCACCTCTTGGCTGGTAAGATCCTTCTTGCAACCTGCAGCCAGGTGTCTGAACACATACTCTTCTACTCCCCATTTATGGAAATTAGCTTTATGAATTATAACACTTGTGGAGTTGAAGAAACTTCAACACACAAGGTGCTAACTTTATTTTATTTCAATTTAAAAGATTAAAAAACATACAGACTTTGAAATGGACTGAGTCCGTTTGCTAATATGTGTAGAAAATGACTGTGTAGCATTTGCTTTGAAGCTTATAGTTTTATGGATTCAATTTGTGGCTCTGGGCATTTGCTATGCCTGTACAAAGTGTTCACTGTGGTTTTTCTTTTCTAGTTCTTTATGAACAACTTATATTTTTGAAGCATAACCTTAGATATATTGAATATCGATCTTTGCTTATAAATGGGCAAGTGATGTAAATGACAAATAACTGTAACAAATACAAAAGCATCTTTGAATTTGAATAAAGTAAGCACCGGTTTGAGTTCAGAGGAGTGAGAAACTGATGAATGGACTTTATCCTTTCAGAATCCAAATGTTCTCTATTTTGTTGTTTCTTAAAGATCCATACCACTGTTTTCAGTTTTTTTTTTAATTATAAAGGAAAAGAAATGTATTTAGGGAAGAAAGAATCACTTCATACAGTGGAGCCTATTTTTATCACTTTATTGTTAGCACGTAGCTTTCCCTGCCCTCACCCCCATCCCTCTCTCCCCACTGCTCACTCCATGGACAAAGTGCTGCACCTTCAGTAAACGTTTCCTCTCCTTTCTTTACTGACTCTGTGTCCTTACAGACCCCTGGTGAAAGCCCCAGTTTCCCTCCCTCACATCCTTAGCTTATCTCTTCTTCATAAGGAGGGCTTATCCTGACATGGATATTCCAGCTTTCTCTCTTCTCTTTAGCATTAAATCTCTCAGTCAATAACTCTGTTTGAATTTAATTGATTATGCGAACACTTCCAAACCTACATCAATTATTCTGTCTGAACTTAGCTACTTAAGGGCAATAATCCTGGGCTGAGTTCCATCAGTGGCATCTGGAAATAAAGACTGTGTAAATGAAAAATGTGACATGTAGGAAAAACAGAGGGAGAGATGGAATTCTCAGAGCAGAGAGAAAATAACTCCAATGAATCGATCTTTTATTTCTTGCCTGCAGCATGGGTGTAAAGGTGGGAGGTGGGGTGCAGGGTTTTCAAAAATTTGTTCATTTTTATATAAACTTTTATTTCCTCTTTTCTTCCCTTCCCTGAAGTCTGAAAGATTCTGATAATCCATTTACCTAAATAGAATAGTTCACCATTCTCAGGTTCTGTTATATCCAGCAAGAGCTGTTCAAAGCATCAGTGGGGTGGAGAGGGGCAGGGTAGAAAAGGAGTCATTCATGGCCTGCGGTGGGAGAGTTCCTTCAAGGCACCAGTGATGCCTTGGGTGGGTGGAGGGTGAGGAAGGGGAGCGGTTGGGTGCCTGAAGCAGTGCCCTCGTAACTCGCCCCAGATTCTGGTTGAGGGCCTCCGCTCATCAAACGCTTGTTGCTGGTTGGTAACTCATGTTTTGTCATTGATGGGTTCCTCTCTTCTGTGACCTCAGGCAAGGTCAGCCTGTGTATCCCATCACGGGAGGCTTCAGGCAGCCCTACCCGTCCTCACTGTCAGTCGACACTTCCATGTCCAGGTAGGTGGAGGTGGAACCGGCGCCAGGACAGGCTGCTCTCGCACGCTTGCGTCTCCCGCGCCTCTGCTTGCCTCTCGGCCCGGCGGGCGCACAGCTCAGCCCGCGTCTGTCTGCGCAGGCTGCCTGGCTCCCACACTAGGCGTCCTGGGGAGTCCCGGGCAGGAGCCAGACTCCGTGCCCCACAGCACCAGCCACACCCGTCAGGCAGACGGACTCAGCACCCTGGAGACCGTGCCTCCAAAAGACTTCACTGCCCCCCGACGGCGGGAGGAGAAATGTCCCCAGAGGGGACCTCAGAAGAAGAACTTGTTCAATTCAAAAAACATGCTGGGGGCGGGTCAGCGGGAGAATGCAGACTGGCTTTTCTTTTCCTGTGAGGAAAGTTGTCTGTTTCCTGTGACGGTGTCTGAAAAGGCCCAGCTGGCCCAGAGCCTTCCCGGACCAAGGCTGTGAGAAGAGAAGGAAGGGTGCTTACGGCTGTCAGGCCGCGCGGGGCGTGTGTCCTAGTGTGTGAATCAGGCCCTGTGTGGACACGGTGGGGCCGGCGAAGTCTGTGAGGTCTGCTGCCACACCGCTCTGTGTAACGCTTTGCCTCTGGAAAGGACGGCTTCTGTGCCCTGTGCTTGATGTACACACACATTTGTGGTGTATCATCTGTGTGTTCAATGTGGCTTTTTCAAGGGAGCTAGCAGTAACATGCTGGAAGTCAAACTGTTGGGCTAGTAACTGGTTGTGAATCTTAACTTTTTTATATACATATGAAATTTGCAGTTTTCTGTGGTGAATTTCAGCTTTTTCAGAAATCATTTTATTCAGTAAATTGTACACCTAACTGAGAGGGAATGACATTAATATCCTTCCTCCAAAATATATATATATATATTTTTTTATTTTAACACTGTATAAGAATTGTGTGATGATAGGATTTTCTCATAGGCAAATAACCAGCATCACGTATTTTTGCAAATGGTCCATTTAGCAAAGCATCATGATTGGATTGAATGTTTGTATTTTTCCCATGCCTCCTTAATTTTTAAAGATTTGTTTCTGAAATATTACATATCCAAGCAGAGTCCCTTCTTTCCTTCCCAAAAGAAGGAATTCACTGTACAGATGGTGATGAAAGACCTGAGAATGTTTTTTGTTGAATAACATGTTTACTTTAAAACAGTTTGAAAGCAGAAATTTCTAAAGCATATCCAAATTTATCAAAGAGCTTGTTGAAAGTACTGTCTTTGTTTTATTTTTCTTGCATGGCAGTTTCCCTCCTTTGTGTTGGATGGTGGTGGATATTTTGAGATTTTTTTTAATGCTCTATAAGCATACTCTGGGAAAAAGCCTTTATTTGAGCTTGTGTAGTTTTTACCTTGAAGCAGAACTGTATCTGTCCCTTTAATTAAATTCTTCCCCTTAATTTTGTTATCAATTTTCCATGAGGCTGGATCTCTCAGACACTACCTTCTTTATTTGTAGAAAATTATTTGGGATGATCCTGATGGCAACTTTATTAAATTAGAGACTGAGCAAATCTTCCTGTTCCTTGTCTTGTCAGTTGCTCTCTCCCAATATTAGGGAAAAAGCCAACAGGAGAAGACTTAATATGAAGGTCCACTTAGGGATGTAGACAGAGATTTTAAAATATGGTGTCTTTAGATTTTAAGGTCATTTTATAAAGCTAAATCTTAATAAAATATTGTATTTCCAGTAGTTACTGAAATTCTTCTCTGAAAACTGCTTTGCAAGAAAAGTGACTCACTTTTTTTTTTTTTTTTAATCCTATTGCCTAGAGCCCTCCCAGGAAAAATGCCAGATTCCACCATTAGCTTGAAAAAAAAAAAAAAATCTGTAAGGTGGTGTGTAATTATAAATGTTTTCCACCTGAATACAGAAGGGAAAGAAATTAATCATCAGCTTGCTCTTATAGTTAATATGTCTGTGTGTGAAGATGTGTTTTTACTCTCAGCCAATAGCAGTTACTGAGTTGTTTCAAAATTCTATCCAGCTCTTGCTACAGCAGTACATTTTGTTTTCTCGTCTTTCCTTCTTTTAGGTTTTCTCATCATATGATTCCCGGTCCTCCTGGCCCCCACACAACTGGCATCCCTCATCCAGCCATCGTAACGCCTCAGGTCAAACAGGAACACCCCCACGCTGACAGCGACCTAATGCACGTGTAAGTGCGTCTCTCTTCACCTGGGGACGCCTTAGGGTACCAAGGCCTTAAACCCCACAGCTTCTCCTTTGCTGTTGTCGAATCTCACCCCTATCTGTTATCCTTAAAATCAGTGTAGCTCCGCCTTGAAAGCTCTGCCCCTGAGGACACCGAGCAGCTTGATTCTCAGTGCTCTGATTTGGTTCTGAGATTGAAAAGGAGCACGGATCTCAGAAGATGAAGGGAAACTCACTAAAGAGAAGTGATTTTCAGAGCAGAGAGACTGAAGAAATGGAGCTGTTTAGCCATTTAGTACAAGGCTTTAATTGGGTTCCTATTCTTGGGGAGCATGAGAGTAAAGTAGATTGGGGAGTTCAGTGCATTTCCTTCTAGAAATAGAGCCACCCTGCATCTGCATCAAGGCTTTGAAAGCACTGAATTGAAAGGAAGGGGACAAACCAAAACCCAGGATTTCCTGTTGGGCCAGGGTTGTTGCAGGCTGTTACAGCACAGCTGAATTCTCCCAAAAGACTAGTAATTAATTGAATTTCTTAATTTAGGGTTTGTGCTGGAACAGAAGGATGCAGTGGCAGGGAGCATGTGAACATCGTCCCTAAGACCCCTGCAAGTACAGGCAAATCCAGTGTGCATTTGTCTGGGGGAGAGAGTCTAAGATTTCATTAGGTTCTCAGAGGAGCGCTGGCCCGCAGAAGCTAAGAACATCAGTTCTAGAGGAGGAATGACTACCTGCACTGTATGTGCAGCTTTTCCTAAGGTGACCAGGGAGCACCTAAAATCTAGATGCAGCATCTTCACAAGCTCATTTCTGTGTTGGGTTAAACCCTTCTATAGCTATAGGTAAGCTTTCTCAAACCAAAGGATCCTTATTTATCAACAGTAGATGAGTCACTCTTTTAAGTAGACAGTGTTCTGGGGGCTTATAGAGAGCCCAGAGGGTGGTCCCAGCCTGAGGTGGGCTCATGATATAAGCAGATGCTCTGCTCCTCCCATCTCTTTCTGATTCATCTAACCCCTTCCCCACTCCCACCTTTTAGGAAGCCTCAGCATGAACAGAGAAAGGAGCAGGAGCCAAAAAGACCTCACATTAAAAAGCCTCTGAATGCTTTTATGTTATACATGAAAGAAATGAGAGCGAACGTCGTAGCTGAGTGTACTCTAAAGGAAAGTGCAGCTATCAACCAGATTCTAGGCAGAAGGGTAAGTAGTGGGATGGCATGTAAATGTTTATGGTAAGTGGAACTGGTTCATTAAGAGCTGCCCAAATGCACTTACATATCAGGTAGTCATAGAATCATCTGTATAGTCACCAGTCACTTGGGGAGTTAACAGAGAGAGCATGACAACCTTTAGGAGGAATGATATAATGCATTGTATCAACAACTGAGGTTGTATCTGGCACTTAGAACATTTCCTGTAAATGATAACTATTTTCCTATTATCATACTTTAAATGAGTGTATCTTCAGTGTCTTTTATGTGCCAGGCAGTGTAGTAGGCATTACATAATTGTTGCTGAGTAAAATAGATGTAGTCCTTGCCTTCGCAGATCTTGAAGTTTTGTGACAGGATACTGATAGGAAATAATTCCCCATTATATATATATATAATTAAAATTGTGATAAATACTGTTAATATGAAGAGCAAGAATCAGAGAATAATGGAGGTGGGTGGGGCTAGGGGAATGGCCCCCTGATAAAGTAATTGAGAGATGAGTGGGGGTTAACCCCTGATGAAGGGGGTGAGGTCGACTCTCCCCACACGAAGCAGTGTGTGTGTCTGCAGACGCTGAAGCAAGAAAGCAGGGAGCTACAGCAAGGCCTGTGAGGCCAGCCACGTTTCTGGATAAACCCGGGCAGTCAGCAGTGGCTGCTCCTTCCAAGACGTAAGCAGATCATTCTACCTTAAAGCTTTACATGGAAGAATTAGTGTGGGCCGGAGAAGTCTTAATTCTAGAAGAATTGTTCTCTGATTCTCCAGGTGTACATGGGCCAGGTTTCTCGATTGCCCTCCTTTTCTGTTGATGTTGCTGCTTTCACCCATGCGGAGATATTTTTCTGAGCACCTGTCATGTCCCAGGCACTAGACTTATAACTAGGACAGACACTCTTAGATTTCTTTGTCCAGCCACCAGTCCAGAGACTAGTCAGTCCTTCCTAGTACTTTTCTCAGTGTTGAAATGGGTCTAGTTGGGTATCTGAAGTGTGGCAGAGAAAATTGGAATTTTTCTCATTGAAATTGCATTTTACTGTAATTACATTGAAGTTTTAGAAATGCTTCATCTTAACTTGTTGATGCTCTTCATTATGTGTGGTGACTTCTTAAAATATAACCTTGTGTATTTGGTTTTGCAAACTCAAGAAATTCATGGTTTGCAAATGAGCATTCAGGAGAAGGAAGGTCTTGACAACCTTTGTGGGACTTAAAGGTCATGTTTTAACTGTTGCTGATGATCATTTTCATCATGTTTGTTAAAAACCTCATACATTTCAGCATCCAAGACAGAAAACATTAGGAAATTTCCAGTCCATGTGAGGAAAGCAGATGGCAGACAGCAGGCGTTGTTGGATTATAGATTCCTGTTCGACGGCATAAAAACGCAGCTATTTCCAATCTTCAAGACACCAGGGTTTCAGGGGTAGGATGTGGTGGTAGATTATAGCTCTTTTGGTGCCCTGTGTGCAAAACTCTATCTCCCTGTGGATTCTTAAACACTTAATAACAATAATTACAATGATTTTCAAAGCCAGGTCATACCAGATGAGTGATTTCCATCTTTATTTTTTCTTTTTGAATTTTCCCTGACCCTTCAAAAGAAGAAATTAGAGGAAAAGAAGGGTTCTTTTTTCAGCTCGTGTAAAACTCTTTTTTTTTTTTCTTTTCCCCAAGTTAAAGGTCCATGGTCCTCCAGTGGGAATTATTTTCCTGCTCAAGAGAGTTAATGATATGAAATGGATGTATGCTTCCTATTTTTAATGCACATTTCCAACAGTTGCTACTTTCTCAGCTCCCTTAACAATCCCCAGATCAGAGCATGTGTCCTAAAGGATGGTTCTCATTTGGGGTCTCTCTCTGTCTTTGATTTGGACACCTGTTTCTATTTATAGGTCTCTGAGATCTTTGATTAAGATCAGGTTTTCTATCCTTTCATAACTCCCCTCTGGCAGGATAGTTCTTGCTAGTTCTTTAAAGTTCCTAGCTTTAAAATCATGAAGTTTTACACTAGGATAATTAGAATTCTTAATAGTGGAACTGAAATTCATCCTGGAACATTTTATCTTTTGATTTTTACTCACCTTTACTTTATCTCTAACATAGAAATGTTCATTCATATGAATGACTCAGTTTTCTTCTTCATATTATAAGTAATAATAACATAAATATTATTTTAAGGTTTTTCTTTTCAGACCTTCTAGACTATTAAAGGAAGTCCATTTATTGCATATTTATTGTCAGAATTTCTAAATCTTGGAATTAATTGTGTTAAGTTTCTTCAAATGGGTATTTTCCCAACAACTTGATGAATCTTTCAGTAAGCAAAAGAGATGGAAAAACATTTTTAGTCAATATGTGTTTCAGAAATGCCTGTTAAAGATTGTCTTTCTAGCTTGCATCACACTTTACTTTTGTTTTCAACGTAAAACTTTAATATCATAACTTTACTCAACTGTTTCACTCTGGTAAATGATGTTTCATTTGTGAGTTGAGTTTGTGAATTATAAATCTATAGGAACTAAAAGCAGTTGAAAAGGCAGGTAAACAGTTTAGTTTGTGGTCTGCTTTTTAACTTTGACTTTTGCTTAGTTTTGTTAGCTGGGGTCTTATCAACCTAAGTTTCCTGCTGTAACTGAAAAATTCCTGCTTGTTTAACTGGTTGTTTGGGTAGAAGACCCAACCTCCATATGTATTTTGGGAGATAAGTCTTATTTACAATTCCAGATAAAATATATCTCTATACTGACATATTGCAGTAGTATGAGAGATTATTGATCAAATGAATGAACAAATTTACAAAGTAAGGCTTCTTATCTTTTTTTCCTCTTAGTCTGCTTTTCGTTCCTTTGTGATAATGCTTTGCCTCTTGCCAATCATGTTAGCATCAGACCTATCTAAATTACTAATGATGAGTCTTTTTTTTTTTTTAAAGGTACACTGATCTCTTCCACTGTGCCTGGTGTGGCCTTTTCTCCCCATGAAGGGCTCTAGGTCAGAACCTCAGATTTAGAAAAGCGGCTTCCCTGGTGGGTCAGCTGGTAAAGAATCTGCCTGCAGTGCGGGAGACCTGGGTTTGATCCCTGGGTTGGGAAGATCCCCTGGAGAAGGGAATGGCAACCCACTCCAGTATTCTGGCCTGGAGAATTCCATGGACTGTAGAGTCCATGGGGTTGCCGAGCGCTGGACACGACTGAGTGACTCTTGCTTTCTCTCCCGTCAGTGGGCAGAGGCAGTGTGACTCCCCCTCTCTCTCCGTCAGTGGGCAGAGGCAGTGTGACTCCCCCTCTCTCCCATCAGTGGGCAGAGGCAGTGTGACTCTCGCTCGCTCTCCCGTCAGTGGGCAGAGGCAGTGTGACTCTCGCTCGCTCTCCCGTCAGTGGGCAGAGGCAGTGTGACTCTCCCTCTCTGTCCCGTCAGTGGGCAGAGGCAGTGTGACTCTCGCTCGCTCTCCCGTCAGTGGGCAGAGGCAGTGTGACTCTCCCTCTCTCCCGTCAGTGGGCAGAGGCAGTGTGACTCTCCCTTTCTTTCCCGTTCAGTGGGCAGAAGCAGTGTGAGTCTCCCTTTCTTTCCTATTTAGTGGGCAGAAGCAGTGAGACTCTTCCTGCCTCACTGTCCACTGCTCCGCAGACATGCCTTCTTAGGCTCAACTTGACTCATTGTGATTACTCTGCTGGGACAAAGATTGTGTCTCAGGTAACTTCTTTCAGGTGTTGTATTTTTTCTGTCACTTCCCCATTTCCCCTCCCTCATTCCTTTTTTTTTTTTTTTTTTTGTTAAAGAAAAGGTATTACTTGATTTGCCTTTAGGCTCAGGCCAAGTTCCAATGAGTGACACGGTTCTTAACTTTACACTCTGCACTTCTAAAGCAATTAAATCATTGTCCTGTCAACTTAAGAGGCCCTGGCCTCAAGGGGCAGTTTGAAGGAAGTGGAGTCCGTTGCCCTGCCTGTGGGTCGCGCCACCTCTGGACTGGAGACTGGCGGGGAGGACGGGATGAGGCCACAGGTGCTCCAGTGCTCTCTTTGAGGTGAGGCCCTCCTCCTCTCCATGGCGAGGGCAGCAGGTGCCTGTGCTCTCCAGGGGGCACGTCTCCATTGTGCTGTCGGGGCTGTGTCCTGACCACTGGACCGCGGTCCTCAAGAACAGCCTCTTGGTGCTCACTGGCCTCTCTCGCTCACTTCTTCCTTTTTCCAGTCCAGTCATAGCTTTCTTTCCATCATTTAAAAAAAACCAAAGAGAGTAACTAAAATCAATATGCACAGTGACATGAATGAGAAAGAACCACCCAGCCTTTAACAGGAAGCGAAATGGAAGCAGCGCCCCCTAGAACCAGGAGCGCTGGAGAGGAAGCGGGCCTCCCCCAGAGTGCGTGCGGGCACACTTGTGTGCAGGCGTGAGTGGTGTGGCCTCCGCCCCGGCCTCCCACAGCCACTGCTCCTGCGCCATCGCCTCTGGCCAGTGGGGCCCCCAGAGCGCAGCCAGTTCTCTGGGAGTTGCTGACAACAGATCCTGGCATTTGGAAAGTAGGAGGACGTACTGAGAAACTGCTCACTGGGGGCCTGGGGCAAGTTTTATGTAAACACACACAAAGTGCCAATTTTGTTGTTCAGTCACGCAGTCGTGTCCAACTCTGTGTGACCACATGGACTGCAGCACACCAGGCCGCCCTGTCCCTCACCATCTCCCAAAGTTTGCCCAAGTTCATGTCCATTGCATTGGTGATGCCATCCAGCCATCACATCCTCTTCTGCCTCTTCTGACGTCCTCTTCTGCCCGCGATCTTTCTCAGCATCAGGAACTTTTTCAGGGAGTCAGCAGTTAACAACAGATAACCAAAATAGTGGAGCTTCAGCTTCAGCATCTGTTCTTCCAGTGAATATTCAGGGTTTATTTCCCTTAGGATTGACTGCTTTGATCTCCTTGCTGTCCACGGGACTCTCAGGAGTCTTCTCCAGCACCACAGTTCAAAGGCATCAATTCTTTGACATTCTGCCTTCTTTTTTCTTCTTAGAAGAAATGTAGTATCCCTCATAGTCAACAAAAGAGTCTGAAATGCAATTCTTGGGTGCAGTCTCAAAAACAACAGAATGATCCCTGTTTGTTTCCAAGGCAAACCATTCAATATCACAGTAATCCAAGTCTATGCCCCAAACAATAATGCTGAAGAAGCTGAATTTGAATGGTTCTATGAAGATCTATAAGACCTTCTAGAAATAACACCCAAAAAAGATATATTTTTGATTATAGGGGACTGGAATGCAAAAGTAGGAGTTCAAGAGATACCTGGAATAACAGGCAGAATTGCGCTTGGAGTACAGAATGAAGCAGAGCACAGGCTAACAGAGTTTTGCCAAGAGGACACACTAGTCGTAGCAAACAGCTTCTTCCAACACAAGAGAAGACTCTACACATGGACATCACCAGATTGATTATGTTCTTTGCAGCCAAAGATGGAGAAGCTCTATACAGTCAGCAAAAACAAGACCAGAAGCTGACTGTGGCTTAGATCATGAACCTCCTTATTGCCAAATTCAGACTTAAATTGAAGAAAGTAGGGAAAACCACTGGACCATTCAGGTATGACCTAAATCAAATCCCTTATGATTATACAGTGGAAGTGACAAATAGATTCAAGGTATTAAATCTGATAGAGTGCTTGAAGAACAATGGGCAGAGGTTTGTGACATTGTACATGAGGCAGTGATCAACACCATCCCCAAGATAAACAAATGCAAAAAGGCAAAATGGTTGTCTGAGGAGGCCTTACAAATAGCTGTGAAAAGGAGAGAAACTAAAGGCAAAGGAAGAAAGGGAAGATAAACCCATTTGAATGCAGAGTTCCAAAGAATAGCTAGGAGAGAGAAGAAAGCCTTCCTCAGTGATCAATGCAAAGCAATAGAGGAAAACAGTAGAATGGGAAAGACTAGAGATCTCTTCAAGAAAATTAGAGATACCAAGGAAACACTTCATGCAAAGATTGGCACAATAAAGGACAGAAATGGTAGGGACCTAACAGAAGCAGAAGATATTAAGAGGTGGCAAGAATACACAAAAGAACTATACAGAAAAGATCTTCATGACGCAGATAACCACAATGGTGTGATCACCCACCTAGAGCCAGACATCCTGGAATGTGAAGTCAAGTGGGCCTTTAGGAAGCATCACTACGAACAAAGCTAGTGGAGGTGATGGAATTCCAGTTGAACTATTTCAAATCCTAAAAGATGATGCTGTGAAAGTGCTGCACTCAATATGCCAGCAAATTTGGAAAACTCAGCAGTGGCCACAGGACTGGAAAAGGCCAGTTTTCATTTCAATCCCAAAGAAAGGCAATGCCAAAGAATGTTCAAACTACTGCACAATTGCACTCATCTCACACGCTGGCAAAGTAATGCTCAAAATTCTCCCACTAGGCTTCAACAGTACATGAGCCATGAATTTCCATGATCTTCAAACTGGATTTAGAAAAGGCAGAGGAACTAGAGATCAAATTGCCAACATCTGCTGGACCATCGAAAAAGCAAGGAGTTCCAGAAAAACATCTGCTTTATTGACTACGCCAAAGCCTTTGACTGTGTGGATCACGATAAACTATGGAAAATTCTTTAAGAGATGGGACTACCAGAGAAATCTGTATGCAGGTGAAGAAGCAATAGTTAGAACTGGACAAGGAGCAACAGACTGGTTCCAAATCAGGAAAGGAGTACATCAAGGCTATATATTGTCACCCTGCTTATTTAACTTATATGCGAAGTACATCATGTGAAATCTCGTCTGGATGAAGCACAAGCTGGAATCAAGATTACTGGAAGAAATATCAATAACTTCAGATACTCAGATGACCCCACCCTTATGGCAGAAAGTGAAGAAAAACTAAAAGAGGAGCGTGAAAAAGTTGGCTTAAAACTCAGCATTCAGAAAATTAAGATCATGGCATCTGGTCCCATCACTTCATGGCAAATGGATGGGGAAAACAATGGAAACAGTGAGAGACTTTGTTTTTTGGGGCTCCAAAATCACTACATATGGTGACTGTAGCCATGAAATTAAAAGATGCTCCTTGGAAGAAAAGTTATGACAAACCTAGGCAGCATATTAAAAAGCAGAGACATACTTTGCCAACAAAGATTTGTCTACTCAAAGTTATTGTTTTTCCAGTAGTCATGTTATGGATATGAGAGTTTGACTGTAAAGAAAGCTGAGCACTGAAGAATTGGTGCTTTTGAACTGTGGTGTTGGAGAAGACTCTTGAGAGTCCCTTGAACTGCAAGGATATCCAACAAGTCAATCCTAAAGGAAATCAGCCCTGAATATTCATTGGAAGGACTGATGCTGAAGCTGAAACTCCAATACTTTGGCCACCTGATGTGAAGAACTGACTCATCTGAAAAGACCCTGATGCTGGGAAAGATTGAAGACAGGAGAAGGGGATGACAGAGGATGAAATGGTTGGATGGCATCACCGACTTGATGAAGATGAGTTTGAGTAAGCTCCAAGAGTTGGTGATGGACAGGGAAGCCTGGCGTGCTGCAGTCCATGGGGTTGCAAAGTTAGACACAACTGAGCGACTGAACTACCTTCTTTGTGGTCCGGCTCTCACAATGTACATGACCATTAGGAAGACTATAGCCTTGACTATACGGACCTTTGTTGGCAGAGTAAAGTTTCTGCTTTTCAACACACTGTCTACGTTTGTCATCGCTTTCCTGCCAAGAAGCCTTTGTCTTCTGATTTCATGACTGCAGTCACTGTCCACAGTGATTTTTGGAGACCTAGAAGAGGAAACCTGTCACTATTTCCACATTTTCCGCTTCTTTTTGCCGTGCAGTAATGAGCCTGGATGCCATGATCTTAGTTTTTTAATATTTAGTTTTAAGCTGGCTCTTTGAATTCTTCACCCTCAACCAAGAGGCTCCTTAGTTCCTCTTCGCTTTCTGCCGTTAGGATGACATCATCTCCATATCTGAGGTTGTTGATGTTTCTCCTGCCTGTCTTGACTCCAGCTTGTATCTCATCCAGCCCAGCATTTCTCATGATGTGCTCGGTGTATAGTTTAAACAAACAGGGTAACAGCAGACAGCCCTGCTCTACTCCTTTTTCAATCTTAAACCAGTCAGTTATTCCGTACAAGGTTCAGGCTGCTTAAAATCCCAAACAGGGCCTTGCTATTTTGCTCTGTATGATCTATAAATATCTGTTACCTAAAGGGAAATGGAAAATTTGAAAGGTGTCAAGTGATGCATTCTCCAAATTAGCTCCTACAGTCTGCAAGTGTAGATGTCAGCGTAAATTTAGGCCATGCTCCTTGTTTTCCATCAGAAGACCAAAACATGAAGCCTGCGTGGTGATTATACAGTGTTATCTGTGTTCTCCCTGTGGACAGTCAGTCTTTATATAAGTGTGAAGCAAGGGTGAAGAGACTGAGACAGACTGACTTTTGATGTCTGGCTTTATAGACAGGATCATATGATGAAGGTTTCAGATTCCTCATATGACAGAGTAGGAGTGTGTGCATGTGAGGTGAGGAGATACCTGGGTGGAAAAGACCTGTGGAAATTCCTCATTAATAGCACTTGGACTCAGTGGCAGAATATGCCACAAACTATGAAAAAAGGGTAAGTTGGGTGTTGAAGCTTACTGGTGAACATTCTCTTTAACTGGCCCTGGAGAAGAGCAAGGCTGGGCAAGAGGCCATTTCATTTTGGATACGTGGACAGGTTTCATGTAATGTGAGAGCAGGACAGGAAAACCAAAGTTTGAATCTCATTGCAGCCACCAAACTCCGGAAGGATTTCTGCAGCACGTGGTCTTCTGCCATTTAAAAATCAAAGTTTACATTCTTAACATTTTCATTCTTCACTGTCTGAAATGTGAAATATATAATACTATTGCTATTTTGCTTTTACTTGATTCTTCCCCCTCCTTCCTTTTTGTTTTTCAGTGGCATGCCCTCTCTCGTGAAGAGCAGGCTAAATATTACGAATTAGCGCGGAAGGAAAGACAGCTACATATGCAGCTCTATCCAGGCTGGTCTGCAAGAGACAATTATGTAAGCGCCTCCTGCACACTGACAGCTCTCTCTTCTCACTTGTTCTCTCCCTGTGTTGCTCTCATAAGGGAAATGTGTTGTAGAGTGTAACTAATGCTGGCATTGTTTTCTATTTTTGAAAGTTAATGAACTTTATAATAAAGACTTCATGGTTATATTTCATTTTGAAAATTGCACTGTCATAATTTTTTGGCTATATGCTAATGACATCTTTAAGTAAAATTTTTTAATCAAAAAAATCCTTATCATTAAAATGTTGGTGAAAAGATTGTTTTTAAAGCCCACAACCTCATCATGTAAATGATGAGATTATTATTATTAATAACTAGTTAACTATCTTCCAGTATATTTTCTGTGCATATTTTTTCATTTTTATCTGGATGTGTGTTTGAGGGTGGGTGGGTGTGTATATACATACACTTTTATACCATGCTGTTTGCTCTTGTATACAATAAGCATTTTTCTGTTATGGCATAGTGTTTCTGTATATAAGTTTTAATAGGTGTACAATATTCATTGAGTGAATGTCACAATTAACCATTTTTTCCCTGCTTTTTAGATATTTGCTATTTTTTTAAATAAGTGGAAATAATCCTGCAATGAACTATGCATAATAACAGGGTTTTTTTTCCTGTATTTAGGACTTATTTTTGTAGGATAGATTCAAAGTCGTGAAATTATTGAGTACAGATTATAAAGGCTTTTGATATATATTGTCAGATTTCTTTCCAAAAAGAATTATGTTATTTTACACTTATTACAGTGTATTCATGTGACTGTTTTGCCACAGACTAATTAGAACTAGGTAAAAATCCACTTATTTGTTTCATATTAATAAACCCTGATGTCCATTATATATTTTATTTAGATGGAGTAGGTATTATCATAATTTTAAGTTGTATGAATTTTATTGGCAAAAAAACACCTCATTTTTATTTCCAATTATTTTACTACTTTATACTTTGAACATCTTGTTCTTGTCTTGATACAGCAAAAACTACTTCTGAGAAAGAATATTGTAAGTGATATCAGTTGTATCAGATTTTATAGAGGGGTATGTTTTTGATCACTTAAGCTCTTAATTTAAAAATCTGAAGATCATTTTCATGTTTCTTGTGAGGCTAGCATTCAAACTGCCAGCTAGGGCAGTCTTCTTATTAGATGTAGTTGTCCTTTTTAAGAATGGTGAAGCCATGAATCAACATGTAAATTAACGTGTGGTCATTGCTGTAGATGAGCCTGTGGGGCCACCAGTATGAGGTCATACATCCCATATAATGAGGCACAGGGAACTTTGGGAACACATTGTCTGCTGTAACATGTTGGAAGAGAAAGCCCCTACTGGTCAGGATTTGGAGCTTCCTCATTGGATACAAGTATGACATAGGAAGTAAGAGTCCCACTGTTTGTGACTTGGGAGCAACAGCTTCATCGACTCTCCTGGATTGCTGTCTTGGTTGTTTCAGTAACTGCCGCATGCCAATTGTCTAGAACTGTCTTAAATACTTTGTGTGTTGTTTTCTAGTCCTTAGGATAATCCTGTGACATAAACAGTATTGTTGCATTTTACAGATGAGGGAAATTGAAGAGTCAAGAGGTTAGGTAACTTGTCTGCGGCTATGTAGAGGCTAAGCTGCAAGGAACACCCAAGTCCCCCCGACTGCACAGTCTATGCCATTTCCCTCCTCCAGACAGACCATCTCAGTCTTCCAGGGCCTCCTTAGGAAGACAGCTTTAGTTGAGTTTTCTCTCAGAACTGGGCTTCTGTTCTCTGGACTGTAATTAGTATTTTCTGGATACAGCCTCTGTGATGCCCTTTCAGTGGCAAGATCAATCCCCCACCTAGAGGGTTTCAGTCCTAAAGTATACTCCTTTAATCCTGTCCTGGGTCTCTTCCAGATCTGGTTGGCCTGTAGGGAAGAATGGTCTTCCTTCTTTGAACCCCCTGGGAGAGCTTTGCTGTGCTGTGAATTTACATAGATTTAGTGTTGCATGTTGAATGTCTTTCTTTTTCTCTTTCTATGTTACTGAAGTATAGTTGATTTACAGTGTTAATTTCTGTGTACAGCAAAGTGATTCAGTTATGTGTGTCTGTGTATATATACTTTTTTATATTCTTTTCCATTATGATTTATCACAGGCTACTGAATATAGTTCCCTGTGCTACACAACAGGACCTGGTTGTTTATCCATCTTCTATAGTTTGCATCTGTCCCAAACACCCAATCCTTTCCTTCCTCAGCCCACCCACCTTGGTAACCAAAGGTCTGTTCTGTATGTCTGTGAGTTTATTTTTGTTTCATAGATATGTTCATTTGTGTTGTATTTTAGATTCTACATACAAGTGATATCATGTCTTTGAATGAAGTTTCTGTTTCTGATCCTTAAAGAGTGAGTTGCCACTTACAAAAAGAGATAAAAGAAACATATGTTCTTTTTCGCTCTCTACCCTTCTCTCCATGTGGAGAGATGGGAAGTAGTTTTTAAGGAAGACCAGTGTAATGTGAATTTACCTTTAAAGATTTTCCTTGGCACAACTTTTAAAGGAAATTGTTTGCACAATTTGATTTTTAGGATCTCTTTGAATGAAAGGAAACCCCAGCTTTGTAACTTAAAATTTTTATAATAATTAAAATAAGCCTGTTAATTACTAAGGCAAAGAGAAGTCAATCAAGTGGTATCAATTTAGCTAAAGATACTACAGAGTATTCCTCGGAGTACAGGAATACAGTCTAAATAAGATACATGTCCTGTATCTTAGCTTTTCATTGTCAGAATGCTATCCTAATGCTCACTGAGATCGTATTAAATATATATCTCAATATTTTTTATATTAAAATGCCCTAAGGCATCACAGATTGTATAGCTTCAATTTGTTTTTATAACTTCCATTTTTTGTAACTGGTTTTCATAAATCAACAGTGAACATATATTCTTAGGTGTAGTGTTATCTTTGTATTGTTGGGGCTTTTAAATGTAGTGCTTAAAACCCCAGTACTAATTATGATTTTCATGAAAAGTTTATTTACTACACATGAAATTGTTTTTGTGTTAATTAACAAATATATCCAAACTCCTTAAGTCTTTTTGTCTGCCATAAATGTAAGTTCTCTTGAAGCACAGATGTATTCCTATAGTACATGTGATTTCACAAAAGCAACATTAGTCTGACATGTCAGGCCACAGTTGCATTTTCTAAGCACGTGCTAGGCATGTGCTGGGTGGCAGAGATGAGCTGAGATTCAGGCAGTGCTAACAGCCCTGTGGTAAGGGACCCAGGGACACAGCTCATCATGGCCCCTGTAAGGAGTCAGATTATGGTGGGAAGCTCTCAGAGAAGAGTCCTAAATGACATGAGATGAATCTTAAAAGGGTGAATGGGAGCTTGGAGGAGGAGGAGGTGAGGAAGAAAGCTCCGTGTACATGAAACCACCTTATTGCACCTTCTGAAAACCATAAGTCATTACATTTGAAAGAGGGACAGTAAATGCCTATGAGAAGCATGTTCTTTCTCTATCTGCTCCCCTCTTCCTGGAGTACCTTAATCATCTTAAAGACGACTCCGCTATTTTTGGTATGCCATTTCCCAAGGTTACTAATATCTGTTGTTTGCCTTAGTGTTTATGAGGACGGTTTCAGTCAACTTTCCCAAGATCAGGTCATGTGACATGAAAAAAACCTATCTTGAGGTGCATAAAAATACATACTTTTTATATATTTACACAATATACTCAATATAATCTTATGGTTTTATTTTTTGTGAATGTGATTATTACAGCAGACAGAGAAACTGGATGTGATATGTGTTCTGTTACACTTATTTGAAAAGACCATCCTAATCTAGGTTGGTCATTTACTCTGCATATAAGTGGAATACATACTGTGTCTATGCCTTATTACAATTATTTTTGAGGGGAAAGTAATTGTGAAGGAAAACAGAAAATCAAACCAGTATAAATAGACCTAAAATGTAAATATGTGATTAAGATGATTTTGAAATATATTTTAAGTTGCAGGCATATTCATGTTGTTATGTCTTTTAGGGAGCAAGGTCTTTAGCTGGCATAAATTAGTCTTTACAATTAACCTTTTGAGTTTTCTCAGGTTCTGTCTTTTACCCTTCTACTGCTGTCTCAGATATGTCATGTCTATGCCACAGGGGCTGAAGATCCTGTTAATATTGTGGATTTTTAATTAGATGGTTAGCAATTAAAGGGGTAGCAGAGTACCTCCTTATGTGGGCTCTCCTTGAATGGGAGGTGGTGTCTGTGGCCACAGCCCTCGTTGTTGTTTAGCTGCTAAGTCGTGTCCACCTCTCTGCTAACTCATGGACTGTAGCTGCCATGTTCCTCTGTCCATGAGATTTCCCAGGCAAGAATACTGGAGTGGGCTGTCATTTCCTTCTCCAGGGGATCATCCCGACCCAGGGACTGAACCTGTGTCTTTTATTGGCATGTGGATTCTTTACCCCTGAACCACCAAGGAAGCCCACCACAGCCCTAGGACATCATTATCCTGTGTGCGTGTGGTCACTGCCAACTCAGTACTTATGACATTAAATGTGAAGCTAAAAAGACAAAGGTCACAGATAAGAATTTTTCTCTTGCTCTCGGTGTCTAGATGGTAAACAAAGAGATAATGAGGCATCTTCTCTCTCGGTTGACTGCCTGCCTGTCCTTTTGTGTCACATTCATCCATGTGTTCATAGTACAGCCCGTGACAGTGTGCCTGTCTTCTTCCAGGGTAAGAAAAAGAAGAGGAAGAGAGAGAAGCTGCAGGAATCCACATCAGGTAGGCCCTGTGTGACTTTCCAGCCCATCCTCCTGCTTCTGAGGAACATTTTTAAAGCAGTCTGCATCTTTCCATACACTGCTTTATTCTTCAGCTATACTGTGATTCCTAAACTCGGCTTTTCTTCCTGAAGTTCTTTTAAACTGTTTGAAAGACCTTTCTTTTAAATGTGACTATGTGAAGGTACATCTAAAAATCTCTCCCCCAAGCCTTGTTACCGGGAATCCTCATCATTAACTGTGATTGTTTTCTTTTTCCTTGGTTTTGTTTTTGCTTTTGTTTATGTCTTCTCTTTGCTTTAACACTTCTGTTCTTCTAGTTGCATAATTCCTCACATTACAGTTTTTATGATGACCCTGTGATATGCCACCTTGTATCCCCTGGAGATCTTTTCTATGGTTTGGGGTTATTTAAAAATATGAAACGTGATGCTGGGGTTTATCTTTCCTGTCCAGTAATTCAAGGCATCAGTCAGTGAGGTCCTACTTATTTCCCCTTTTCTTTCATTAAAGATAAGGCCTCTACTTGTACTGCACAAATAAAAATGGCTGGTATAAGAACCATGAAAAATAAAGCAAACCAGGTCCACATTATATTGTAGCTACTACGTATTTGGAATGTACAAAAACCTCTTCAATAAAAATTTGTTAAAGACACAATTTTCTGCAGGTACAGGTCCAAGAATGACAGCTGCCTACATCTGAAACATGGTAAGAATAACTCTCTGGTCCTACTGCTGACATTACTGATAAACAGAGGCACTTGCTTGTGAATCTTTTTGCTTATACTGACGCCATTCAGCATTACTCCTTTAAAGAGGACAAACCACCAAAATCAAAGCAGTGCTTTAAAACATCTGATGGTTTTTATACCGGCTATAGACTTGAAATATAGTATGTGTCCCTCTTCTTCCCCTTTGTGCCCCTTTAATCTTTCTCCATTCCCTTTCCCCTAATTCTTGTCAACCATTCCTTACTAACCAGTGGCAGTCTGCCTGCTTAAAAGGCAAGTAATAAAAACCAGCAAAATGGCATCTTACTCTGCAAACCCGGGGCTGTGCTGGAGGAACTCAAGCGCACACTGGCCCAGGACTTGGAAAGTTTTGCTCTGTAGAGACTTTTTCTCAGTTGGGATGATATATATAGGCTTAAAAATAATGTATTTATTTCTAGGGAGAAAGAGGCTTCATTTTGTTCTATTATTTAAATATATGGCTCCAGGACTTATTAACTATATTCTACTATCAAGTTCGTTATTGGTAACCATTGCTAGATCTCGCTTTCATCTTTATAGCTAAATTTATTTCATTCCTGCTTTTTTGTAGTTATTTGATTTTTGACCATGTAACCAGCAGCCCTGGTGGAAACCTGGCTTCATAAACTACCTCATTCTTTGCTAGGCTTTGAATTCATAGTGTGTCTGTGAATTCTCAGTTCTTCTCAGAGGCGCTCCCTTTGATTCTCTCTAGGAACCTGCATCCAGTCCCGTCAACTCCATGTTTGGGGTCTGCTCGAGCCTTTCCTCTCACACTCAGCAGTCCACAGCCTCAGCTCAAGTGCTCTAACTTTCCATCTGGGTTACTGTAATAGTCTTTAGATAACTGTCCTGCTTCCAGACTTCATTTCTGCCAGTTCTTCGTGTTGCTCTCAGAGGGATTTGCTGAAACACGAACGAATGGTGTCACTTCCCTACTTAAAAAGGGCCAGTGCTCCCCCGTCTGAAGGACACAGTGCAGACCACATTAGCGTGGCTCCGCGTCTCCCTCTCCTCAAGGCTCCGTGTTCTGCCTCTCCTCACCTCCAACCATGCGGCCTGTGCTCTGTCCAAACAAAACCACTTGCGTCCCCCAGACAGACGGAGGCTGCTGCACACGCTGCCCTGTGCTCTGAGAGCCCGTTTCCTCTGCCTGAGCATGGTGTTTCTCAGAAGAGCATTAGCTTCTGGGTCATTTCATTCTTGACTAGAACCAGATTGACCACTTAAACTTTTAGAACTTAATCCTGGTGCTAAAATTTCAATGGACTTTCCTAGGAAAGCCTGCAGAGATTTTGGTACCAAATTGATATGAATTTTATATCAACTGTTTGCCCGGCTTGAGGTTCTTAATCTTCATTTCCCTCCACTATAAAATGGGAACAGTAAGCCCCACCCGCTTAGGGTTCTTTGCTTATTATCAGTGGCCTCTCTTCGTCCCTCCACCCCACACCAAGACCCAACTCAGCTGTCCTCTCCCCTGTGAGACTTTCTTCATCTTTATTCAGAGTCCCAGAGTTCTTCACAATTTCATCATTGTTGTTTTATGATATCAAAAGTCTTATAAACTAGTAGTTAGTGGCAGGCTTTTCTCCAAGTATAAATAAGATCAGCCTTTCATATAGGTGACCAAACAGGTATCAGAAAAATGTCACAGTTGATGTTCATATTTAATTCAACTTAATAGCTATTACTGAGGACCTCTTCTGAGCTGGCCTTGCAGCTTGGTTATCAGGAGCACAGGCCCAGCCCCCAGGTACTTATGGCATCATAGTTTAGAAATAGTTCTAGTAGTAAACACATATGCTTTTGTACCTTTTTAGTCACATTTTATTTTTTGAAGACTATTGTCCTTTTAATTACTGAACACCTGGGAATGGACAGCAGCCTCTTTAATGCTTGGCTCTAAATGGAAAACCCTCATAAGCACAACATGCTAAGGACTGATAATGGTCTGATTCACTCTGTCCTCTGTTTGCACCACCATCTTCAATGCTGTTTCTATTCAAATATCATGCAAAAATGTGTTTCTATACTTCAGAGTTTGATATTTGGTTTTGTGTCCTTTATTATTAACATTATATAGTATTTCAGATTCGAAAATTAGCTAAATGCCTTTTTGTCCTAGAATGTCCCCCAAATATCTCCTTTTTTAAAAATAATGTTACAGTGATCATTGTGCTTCCTTGTCACTTTTGTTTTTTTGTTTGTTTGTTTTTAAGGTCAGGGTGTCCCCTCTGCCCTGCTCCAGAAAAACACAACAAAGCTTACCTTCCCCCCACCCCAAGAAAAAAATTCTTGGCTCTTGTCAGCTGGGCTGCACTTAATCAGTCTTCAGTGTTCCTCTCCCCTCTCGGTGCTGGATCAGTCATGCAGCCTTTGAAGTCCTGTCCTCCACACTATCCTATTTTAGAGAACAGCACTGCCAGTCATTAGATAAGAGTTACTAAGCAGAGAGAAGGTCAGATTTGCATTCATAAAGATGTCAGCAAATTAGGAATGATACTACCCCTACTGCTTCCCCACCCCTTTCTTTGTTTTAAGAATTCAGAAACTTCTATGTGTAGTAGTTGACTTGTTTAGTTACTATGCAGCATTTATTGGGCATTTTATAAATGCCAGTTAGCTCTGTAATACCTAGAAATACAGCATTGAATGAGGCTCCGGAGGTCCCTGCTTACTTACATTGCTGGCAGGGCAATTATTAAAAACAAACAGAAACATCTAAGTGCTGTAACACAAATAAAGCAGAGTGACTGGAGGGTAGGCTTTGGGCTGATGATGATAAAAGGCCTTCTGAGGAGGTGACACTCAGTAATAACCGATTAATTTCCATGGAGGGTATTCTGTGTATTGTTCTAAATGGAAGACCAGGGCAACAGAGCATCCTGCTGTTAGAAAGAGCTTAGACTAGCGTGAGGCCACCCAGGCTCTCACATTAGCCCTCTGTGCCATGTGATGATCCGGGGCAGTAGGTTTAAGTCAGGAGCCTCTGGTTCCTCGGCAGAAGGCAGAAGTGAAAGAGGGCTGTTGACTGGCCTCTGAGCGCCCAGCTGCCTCCAGTCCCAGCTTTTCCCGGGTGGCTTTGTGGGTCCGCGAGCTGCCCTGCCTCCCAGCTGTTAGTAAAGGGACTCAACGTCTCTTTTCTGCTTCCTAATCTGTCCTCATCCTAGGTCTGAGTGGAGTGGCTCTGTAGAACTAATAAGGCACCTGTATGATTTGCAAACGACTTTGTGCACGAAGTGCTTGCTCTTCTATCCTATATAGGTCACCTCTCCCCACCCCCAGAACGAGTGACAAAAGCACTGCCTCTAGTTCGAGGCTTCACTTCCATACTGATGCCGTCACGTGGCCTCTTGTCTGCCAGACTTCGGTCCCAGTTGTGCTGGCTACACCTTAGAGAGGAGCCCGAGACAGATGGAGTGTCTGATTAGGCTTGATCCTGCCCACAGTGTGTGTGAGGTCTGTTAGGACTTGCTCTCAGCTCTGAAGGGAAATCCTAAAGTCAGGCTATCCCTGCAGGAAGGCAAAGCTGACAGAACGCAGTGCCCAGACGGGGAAGATGCTGTGACTCCAACGTGAAGAGATTTTTGAGAGGGTTTCTCTCTGTACAGTGAAACTTGCCATTATCTTGTTCTCCTTAAAAGAAATTCCCGTTAAACTAGGTCACTGAGCTTAGACATCTGTGGTGTAGCTCAGATGCTAGGGAGCTCTCTTTACTCTGAACTAGCAAGGGATGGTGGATTATAAGGAAGGGACTCCTCTGTGAACAAAAAACCGTCTGAGAACTCGTTTCTAGTCCTTAAAAGACACGAGTTTCATTTAATGCTTTCACTTTGTTGGTGGGAAATGCCATTGGAGTTGCTTCATACACCCAGCCGTGTCCCCATCTGCCTGTGTGTTTCAACTTCTGTGCATTATATAAGAATAGTCATTCTGGTGAAATCAAGTTGAAACAAAGAAATTAGCATTAACCCAGTCTCAACATCTTATAGCCAACTTTAGGAATAATTAGAATTAGCATCTATAAAAGACATTCCTCCAAATCAGAGGTGATTTCCAAGCTGTGGGACCTTTCAAGAAATCCAAATTCATCCTTAGCTTTTTTTTTTTTTTAACTAACTCTTCACTTGTGAGAATGCTGGGAGCCCAGGGTCCCAGGCCGTGAGACTGCACACATTCTCCCATGAAGGCCAATGTACAAATGCCAGTTTTTCATTCACTTTGTTGTGAACATCCAGTGAGGTCTACTTGTGCAAGTCAAGAACTGCTTTAGGCAGTGGGGTGACTTGCTAAATGAACCCTACCCATTCTCAGCGGAACTCCCAGTTTAAGAGGATACAGACATATAAATTACAAAATAATATGTTTTATAGTAGAGAGGAAGCACATACAGCACACTGTGTTAAAAAGAACAAGAAGTATTAATACACAAATCAAAACAAGATTAAGGAAGGCTTCCTGGAAAAGTAAGTCACACTTGAGCTGTCTAGTCATGGAAGAATTCTTGGGTTTGAAAGAACAATGATCAAGCTGTGAGTTTCCAGTATTCTAGTACATGTTAGATTTGAAATATGTAACATCTCAAGGTTGTCAGAAGTCAAAGATTAAATCATCGAATACTTCCCTTTCTTCCTGACTTAAGATTCATGAGGAATTGAAGCAGTGAAGAATTAAGAATTTTTGAAAAGGTGAAGAAGATTATTATTCTGAGTTTACTAACTTAAAAACATTACTGATTGGTTTACTAATATTTTAGCAAAATATATATAAAGCCCACTATCTTAAAATTATATAGATTGAAATTATGATATTTCAGTGTATTTCCTTTGATCATATAACAGCAAAGGGCTAGTTTAAAAACAAGCTACCTTTTAAAAAGAAAAAACCTCGAGTTAAGCACACCAGGAGATACAGACAGGCACTCATATACAAACACACTACACTATGATTTTAG